ATTATAGTAAGGAGCCCCCAAAACCCAATTCTAATTATTGAGGCCCCTACATCACGGTCTGGATCTGGAGTTTAGGGTTTGGACGAGGATTTACCTACGTCCGGAAACGCCCCGGACAGGTGCCTCTTAAGCAAGGGTCAGTTGAAGCGTACATCCAAAAAGCCCGCGCAACCCCGAAACCAAAGCCGAAGACCCCAAAGACCGCATCCTCACGGTGGTCTCGTAGAGCTCGCCCCGTCGGACGGCCACCATCTCGAATGGCCTCTCCGCTGATTTTAAGGGGTCAAGTCAAAACCATGGAATTCAGTAATATACTTTCGGCCAATAAGGGCGAAACGTAAAACCAGGTTTTTTCTGTTAAAGCCATTGAAAAATCTTCGAAGATAAGATCCACACGGCAAAACATGCTAGCTTAAGCCCTAAACCCTAAACGCAAACCCCCTCAACCCTAAATCCTAAACCCTCAACCCTAAACCCCAAGCCCTCAACCGTGAACCCTCAACCCTAAACCCCAAGCCCGAAGCCCTAAACCTTCCCTAAACCCCAACACCTGAGCCCTAAAACTTATATTCCCTAAACCCCCAAACCTGAGCCCTAAACCCTATTCCTTAAACCCCAAAACCTCCCAAAGCGCTAAACCCTATTCCCTTAACCCTAAACCCTAAAACCCTAAACCCTAAACCCCCTTAAACCCCAAAGCCTCACTTAGTTCGGCTGGGGATTCACCTCAACGGCCTTCCGCTGGAGGGATATGGCTTAGATTTCCTTTAAGGGCTCCTCTTTGGGGTTCCCCATAAACCCTAAGCTTAGGGTTTAGGTTAGGGTTTAGGGTTTAGGGTTTAGGGGCCCTAAACCCTAATCCCTAAACCTTAATCCCGAATCCCTAAACCCGAAACCCTGAACCCTTTAAAAGGGTTCTTGGTAGAGTTCTAGGAAGGACGTGGAGGGCTTTTGCTTGAAGAGTTTCGGGTTCAGGATGTAAGGGCCTTGGTTTCGGAATCTAGGGCTTTAGGGCTTTAGGGCTTTAGGGGTTTAGGGCTTTAGGGGTTTAGGGCTTTAGGGCTTTAGGGGTTTCGGGCTTTAGGGGTTACAGATGGCTAAGGGTAATCGGTAAGGGGTGCAGCGCTTAGGGCTTTTGGTGTAGGGGGTTTGGGGTCTTTTCACAACAGTTCCATCTGATCTGTGTCCGAAGCGGTTGAACTACCTATCTAGAACAGGCAAGAAGGAGAATAATACTAGTAAAAATACCATTCAGTTTCGGGGTTTGCGGCGGCAACTACTAATAAGAAATGTAGTAGCCATAAGAATCACAAGTTGCCAGTCTAAGCCTAAAGGACGTCACCATAGCCATCATCAAAAACAGCTAGCATTGCAGGACTGAGAATTAAATCACTGGACAAAGACCCAACCCCAACAACCGCAGACCGTCTTTCGCCGGGCATCCGGGCTTGTAAGCAGTCCAGGACGCTGAGACATAGTAGCTGTGGCGGACGACCTTCCCAAGAGCCCTAAACCCGAAACCCTAAACCCTAAACCCCTAAACCCCTACACCCTAAACCCTAAACCCTAAACCGCTAAACTCTGAACCCTAAACCCTAAACCCTGAACCCTAAACCTTAAACCCTAAACCCTA